CGTATGTCAATATCTGGTTGTTGTCTGTTCTTGTTGGTTCTCAGTCCACAGAACTCCCTTTAGGTTGTTTTTTTATGGCAGGGTTGGCTTTGGCAAAATCCTTTAGCTTCTGTTTATCCTGGAATGTTTAGGTTACACCATCATATTTGATTGATAGATTTACTGGATAAAGGATTCTTGGTTGACAGTTTTTTTCTTTCAGGGTTTTATATATGTCTCCCTATTGCCTTCTAGCTTGTACGGTTTCTGCTGAGAGATCCAAGCTTAAATCTGACTTGCTTGCCTTAGTATGTAATGCTTCTCTTTTCCCTAGCTACTTTCAGGATTCTGCCCTTATCTTTGATTTTGGAGAGCTTGATTATGACATGTCTCAGTGATTTGCTTTTGGGGTCTATCCTTCCTGGGGTTTGTTCAGCTACTTGAATGTTTATCTTTTACTTTTTAGGATGTTAGAAAAATTTTCTTCTGGTAGTTCTTCAACTATTTCCCCTGTAGACTTGTGTGATTCTTCCCGTTTCGGAATGCCGATAATCCTTAAGTTATTCCTCTTCATGTTGTCCAACAGCTTCTTCAGAATTTTTCATCCTTTTTTCTGTTTGCTCTTCTATCTTCATGGTATTGAGACATTTATCTTCCATATCACTAATTCTGACTTCCATCTCTTCTAATCTATTAATTTGCCATTTCAGTATATTGTTTATTTCTGATAGTCTATTATTGATTCTTTGGACCTCTCTCTGTAGGTTTTGAATTGTTTCCAAGGCTGTATCTATATTATTTGATTGTTCCTGTAGCGCTTTCCTGACTTCTTTCCTATTTTTCTCAACTCCAGTGTAAAGTGTTTAGAAACATTTTGTAATCATTTTTCTGAATTCCGTTTCAGGCATTTCCAAGGCCTGCCTTCCTTCCAGAATGGAGTCAAGGTCTACTGTCAGATCATTTGTCTCAGACCTTATATCTTGTTTCTGGACATGTGCTGATATGGTTTCTTGGACATGTTTAGTGTTTATCTGTGGCCTTAATAATAATTGTGTGTTTTGGTGTTCTTTATGCTTTCTGATTCCCTCCAGGTAGATGTGATCAGGATGTGGGCTTCCCTTTTCACTCTTCTTATTGTTTGACTTAGAGTAACTTTCACAGGTGTTGTCTGTTTCCCCGGTGTATGGCAGTTGGTATTGGTTCTTGCCTGGATTTTGGTGTTTTATAGCGTTTGATTGTAGCTTGACTATATGGCAGCAGTTGCTTTCTTTACTTGGGTAATATAGTGACAGAAGGATTCCCCCAAAGGTAAAAGGGGGAGCATAAGACAGCAAAACAGCAACAGCAAAAAAAAAACAACAAGAAAAAAAGGGAAAAAACCACCAAACAACAACAAAAAACTAGACTGAACAGTTTGTAATTGCAGAAAAGGGAGAGGGAGAGAAGAAAAAAAAAATCTGTAGCCTACTATGATTATGACTTTAATGTCCTTTTTCAACATTTTGCCTTCAAAGCTGCCTGATGAATTTCACGCTTCTGTTGCTAGTTATGGTGTACCTCAGGATTTCATTTCATTTTCGGCCTGTTTTGTTTTAAACTCTCTTTCCTTCTCAACACCCCTTGTTCTGGCCTTTTTTGCTATTAAAAAACAGTTCAGGGCTGGTCCTTGGGCTGAGAGTATCTGTGTGTACATATGGCAGGAGAATACACCATTGGTGGAGTTGGAGGGTATCCACTTGCTCAGCCTCCCCCTCTATTCATCAGAATGGAGGTGCTGAATCAGTGCTGGGCCAATGAACACATACCAAAAAGAAAAATTAGAAAAAAAAGAACAAAACAAAACTGACAAAGTGTATTGTCTATCTTTGCCCTGAGGTTCCCGTGACATTATTCTGTGATGGGTCTGTTCCCCCGCTTGGTCTTGCTGTTTGTTCTCACCCAAGTTGTCTGCTCTAGGCTGCCGAGCCCGTAAGATTAAAAAATACGCAATTTCTTACTCCCACTATAAGTTCCACTAGTTATAAGCCTTCAAACTTTTTAAATATTCCTAGTGCTTCAGAGTTTTCAAGCTCTGCCCTGAACCCTCTTCACCTGGTATTCTGTGGTACTGCTGATCGCTAACTTCATTGCACCTCTACCCGATCTGCCATCAAGCCCCTCCTCCTTCGAACCACTGTGTAACAACTCAGAAATTTCCAACATAAATGAGAGAAGTGTCCAGATTGCATAGCAGTGAAAACTGTTGCCTAATATAACTTGACGTGATGAAGAAACAATCACTGGTACTGAATTCAAGGATGGTGAGCAAACCACCAATATTAACGAGTTGCTCTACACACTCCTGAAACACCAAACTGGATATGTTGTAGGACTCTGGAGATTAACAAACATTTAGAGCTGAGCAGCTTGCCACCACATCTGAACGGCACACTACCGACAGCTTCTAAATTGGCTCAAAATTCAAACGGCGAGATGTGACTACTGGGAAATGCATATCCAAACTTTGTTTTTCCAGCAATTACTGAATCAAACATGTTCACAGAATGACACAATTGAAAGATAATGGAGGTTTTCCATGAACTACAAGGAGGGGCAAGTTGCTGGAGAAGGATATCATGTTTGGTAAGGTGAAGGGTCAGAGAAAAAGAGAAGACCCCCAATGAGATGGATTGGCCAAGTGGCAGCATCGATGGACTCAAGCATGGCAAGAGTAGTGAAGTTGGCCTAGGATCGGGCACTGTTTCGTTCTGCTGTGCATAAGGTCACTATGGGTCAGTACCGACTCGATGGCATCTAACAACATCAACATATGGAGCCTCCTCATTTAAATGCACTTTGAACTTATGACACACTCCATGAGCTTTACTGAAGCACTAATTTCTGTTGTTTGAATCACACTCACCTCAAATGTCTCCCCTGGTTGTCAAGGTGATCCTTCCAGCCATGTGATTCCATGACTGCACCTGTGATGCATAATAACCAGGTGTTACTCTTCAGACATTGTAGGATTAATGCTCAGTGGGTAACTTTTCTCCATCATTAATGTTTCTAGTAACTGATCCAATCATTCAGGATCAAGTCCAAAATTAGAATTAAATGGTAATGATTAGAGACAACAGAGGTTCTTAGTAATACTCAACCACTTTTTGCTATTCCAGCATTTTGACAATTGTTAAAATGCAATTAATCACTAAATACTTCTATCAGGATGGAGAGGAACAGTAAAATACACAGGTACCATTAGGAGAGCTAAGTAGACTTACCACACATGTAAGACTACAGAGGGAAAGGGTCTCCATGTACACAGGTGCAAAAGGACAACTAAAATCAACACAAGAAGTTCAGGTATCTGTGAAGTTGTGTCTGTAAGCCAAAATAAACTCTTTGAAGCTGACTGATTTCCTTCATTGAAGGATGGGCCTAAAATTACATTTCTTCAGGCTTCCTGACACATGGGTCTCAGTGACTCTTATTTCTACTCTCCTCAGATTTTTCCTTGGCTTCTCTGAGAAAACAAATAGGTCGAGCTACCACAGAGTTGTGGAGTCCCGGTGTGATGTTGTAGGATAAATCCCCTATTCGCCTCTAGGAAAACCTACACAGGGTTCCTAAGGATTGGAACTGACCTGATGGCAGTTCACAACAACATGTAGCTCATGTAGAAATGTACATTGTGAGGGAAGACAGTGATGACCAATGAAAGTGTCCTTGTCACCCAGACAGTACTCTGTTCTCCAGGGGCTCTGAAGATTGAACAGGTATGATTTTATCTGCAGCAAAATTATGACAAGCACATCAAACTTGTCAGAAATCCAATAAAACTCTCAAAAAGGCACCTACATGACAAGTCTCTCAGTGCATCAAAGTGTCCCCTGAAGTCAATGCTATGCTGATGGCACTTAGAGAGGCCCAAGGCTTTTATTCACAAGAAAAATGAAAGCACAGTTTAGTGCATAGAGCTCTGAATTAGAGGAATCCCAGATGCATGTGCTCCATATAAGGCAACAATGCCTTTTATTTAACAGGATGGTCTCATTGCTCATCCCATATAATCAAACACAGTTGATGAGTAAAATATTTTTGTTCACAAAAGGAATTTTTTAAAAAAGGAAGATGTCATTCATACCGACTAAAGCCAGATTTCTCAAGGTTTCCATCATCACGTCTCTGTAGAGTTTTCTCTGAGCAGGATCCAGCAAATCCCATTCTTCATGGGTGAAGACCACAGCCACATCGTCAATGATCACTGTACCCTAAAACATCCCACACATTCTCTGTCACCAAAGCAGCACAGACTCCAACATGTCTAAGAACAAAAGGTGAGGCTGACATTCCTGGGACATAAGAATCCACAGGTTCATAACACCAGGTTCTGTGCTCTCGTGAGATTTGCTCTAGGGAACAACAATACGCTTCGTCCCTTCGCTGATGCCATTCAGTTCCTCACTGACAGCATCTTGTCTCAAAAACTCCCAACACCCTGAAATAATCTCTTCACAGTTTGATTGAGACCAATAGCAGTCTATCCCTCTCTGTGCATTATTTACAAAAATTAGAAAATACACCAGAAATGAGAGATGCTTTTGTTCAGATCATAACCTTATTGTAAAATAGCCCTTACATCCCCTTCCATACACCACCAACCTGACCCTCCACAGGCAGGAAGCACTAGGTGGGGCAGGGGAGGCCCTAACAACTCGGAGACAGTGCAGAATGGCAGTCCATCAGCACAGAGCTGACCCTGCATGGATGCAAATCCGGATTCCCCAACTGAAGAGGGCTGATACACCAATTCTCCACTATCCCATTCCCACCCCATTCCAGTGAATTCAGACTTATAACAACCTTATATTACCATGTGCCTTATATTATCATGTGTCGGTTCCACTCATAGCGGTCCTCCGTAGGGTTTCCAGGGAGTGGCTGGTGGGCTTGAACGGCTGACCCTTAGGTCAGCAATGCAGTACTGATCCCAGAACGCTGACGGCACTCACCATTCCCGAGCTCTGCCTTCGGGAAGTCTAAGAGCAGGTCCCCGAAAGGACCCGGAGCTCCTCGGATTCAGGCCGAAGGATGGGAGTGGACGCGGAGTTCCGGGCACGTTGGCAACAGATGCACAGCGACCAAGCGCGCCTCAGATTCTGCTCGTTTATGGACCAGCGTCGCCAACTCGACTCCTCTCCCAGCACCACCGGAAATGGAAGGTATATGGGCGGAGTCAGCGGGCGTGTCCAAGAAGGAACGCCTAAATTATCAAACGAAAACAAACCAAACCTGAACCAGGAATTTATGGAAAGACGGTAACCGGGTAACGGGGATTCCAAACTTACTGACCCGGGTCCTCTGATGGCGGAATGAGAAGAGTACTTCGCTCCGCCAGGACGCACACCACGTGACGCAGGGACGCACATCACGTAACCAGAGGATCTATGGACGCCCGCTGACTTGTCAGTGGGACAGAGTCTCCGGGAGGGTGAAGAGAAGAGGGCTCCCGGAATAGAGGGAGCTTCGCCATCAGACCTTAATATGAGTCTCCCGGGCACCTAGGAGACAGTCAAGACGTACATGTCACTGGATAGGAGGAAGCCCAAACAAGAACTCACACTTCCGCTTCCGGTATTTGTGCAGCTTTGGTGCATCAGAGAAAGGGCTCCATTTGGAAATAGAGAAATCTGTGGTTGTTATGTGCCGTGGAGTCGGTTCCGATTCATAGCGACCCTGTACAGGGTTTCCAAGGTTGTAAATCTTTACGGGAGCAGAAAGCCTCATCTTTCTCCCACGGAGCAGCTGGTAGTTTCAAACTGCTGACTCTGAGGTTCGCAGCCCAGTTCGAAACCACTACGCTACCAGAGAGCTCCTTAGCTGGCTGTTATCCTGGTGTTCAATGGATTCTCTAGCATTTGGAGTCTGGTCAAGATTGTCCTTGTTCCCTCTACGGAGAAAGCATGGGGTTTCTTCAATGAGAATATGAAGGGAAATGTGGATTTCAGTCTTCCAAGATACGCTTGTGGGGCACAGAAAGTTCCAAAGTTCAGATCTGACCCTTTGAAACAGGTTTACTGTTGTTGGCAGACATAGTTTCTTCGGTTTTCATAAACATTTCCCCATCTTGAATTGTTTACATCTCTAGTTTGGCTTCTGTTCCAGGGATTGTCATTGTTAGCATATCACCTGCCTTTCCCCAACTGCATGGTTCACACTATTAGGGACAGCCTAAGGGCAAGGGGACAGGGAGCCCAGCCTGCCTCAAACAACGGTAGAAAAAAATACCACTAGGTGTGAGAACAACAAGCAATCCAAAACAACAGCTGAGTTAGATAATCTCTCAAAATAGCACGAGGGACAGATAACCACAAAGAAAACAGAAGGCTTATCAGCCCATTTCCAAGAATTCCTCCACTTTAATAAGACTAAATCAGTGAGAGACAGCCTCAGACCTGCCCCTGGGGGAGGACATCTGGGACCATGAATAGAAAACTGTACTTAATCCCTGATCCACAATCCACAGGGCCTTTTCCACTCACATAGATTTACCCACTTCTGTATTTGTATTTTGCAATAAACGATTTCTGACTGAATGCTTGTTGTACGCATGAAATTGAGAGGCAGCAACTCAGTTGAGGCTAATTCTTCAGACTCCTGACAGAGGGTGAGGAAGGAGAACCTAGTCTGATTTCTATAAATGGTGAAGATGCTGAGAGAGTTCTGAGGTGAGAGATAGGAAGATGCCAGCTGTCCTGAAAGCCAATAGGTAACAGCAGAAGTACCTTTGAAAAAGGCAGTTACAGTTTAATTTTATATATGCAGTTAATCATAATGTGCAGTGATCTTCAGGGTACAACATGAATATATCAATCTTGATAAACTGTTATAGCATCTACTCTGCCATAGAGTATCATCACTGACTGAAAAATAATCCAGGAAGACAAAATTGGGAAATCTGAAAGGGAAGATTTAGCAGGGAGATCTGGAGAACATATATGTGGGATTACATACATGATTGATTAAGGTGCTTCTTTGCAAACACTAACTCTTCCGTGTATTACAGTAAAGTCACAGGACAATGGCAAGACAGGTCTCACGGTAATCTACTTTAAAATTGCTGTCCTAGGCGTACCTCTTTCAGGATTTACCAATAATGCTGTGCATCAACACTCTTCAGGTATAAGCTATAACAACTTGCATATTTGACAGGAAAGATCCTCTGAGAAAACATTTTGTCATTTGGCTTCTGCCAGGCCTCATATGAAAAGGATGTCGCCTTTAGAGTATGTGGCCCTCTGCGTTTAACAAAGTTTAGGCTGACACCAGGGAGTAAGTATTACCATCCCCATGCTGGGCCTGCTGCTCTGTGTAAAGTGAGAGTCTCCTGACCAGAGCTGAACCTGAACAGCTGTTGATGTTGGATTGTGGGACCTGGCCCTCCACAGTCAGCCCTGTCCCAGCTCTCTTGACTTTCCCCAAGTACTGGAGCACTTTCTGTGCAGTTTTTACATTTTAAACCGTTTTACTGTAAACATGTATAGGTAAAAAATAATTTGCAAAGTTTTTTTATTTTCACAAACTTCAATTTACTTGTTTTTTGTCCTGTATCATGCTTTTAATGTTCTATCTGGAAAATCGTCACCAAACTCATGGTCACTTAGGTTTCTTTCTATGTTCTTGAAGTTGAATTGTTTTGCATTCCTATTTAGGGCTTTGATCTATTTTGAGTAAATATTCATAAATGTTATAACATCCCTGTCTAGATCCTTGTTTGGTTGATTGGTTTCTAGCTAGTGGCTGTATAGGTGTTCCAGGATGGTTTGTTGAAAAGGTTATCCTTTTTTGCTTGAATTCCCTTTGGTCCTTAACAACACAATATAAGGAAGATCGTAGAAGACTTGAGGCCTTTGAATTGTGGTGTTGGAGGAGAATACTAAAAGTGCCATGGGCTGCCAAAAGAACCTACTCACAAAACCACCAACTGACACTTTAGCCTGAAATGAAGACTTGATACCTTTGAGTTATGAAGTTGGAGAAGAATATTGAAAGTGCCATGGACTGCCTAAAGAACCAATAGATCCGTTTTGGAAGAAGTGCATCCAGAGTGCTTCTTTGAGGCCAAGATGGCCAAGCTGGATAGTGAATAAGGAAGATCGTAAAAGAATTGATGCCTTTGAGTTGTGGTGTTGGAGGAGAATACTAAAAGTGCCATGGACTGCCAAAAGAACCATCAGATCTGTTTTGGAAGAAGTGCAGCCAGCGTGCTCCTTGGAGGCCAGGATGGCTAAGCTTTGCCTCTCATACTTTGGACATGTTGTCAGGAGGGAACAGTCGCTGGAGAAGGATGTCATGCTGGGTAAGGTGCAGGGTAAGAGAAAAATAGGATGACCCCCAACGAGATGGATCGGCCAGGTGGCATCACTGATGGCGTCAAGTGTGGCAGCAGTAGTGAGGTTGGCCCAGGATCAAACATTGTTTCGTTCTGCTGTGCATGGGGTCACTATGAGTCAGTTCCGACTCGATGGCACCTCTGACCACAACAACAATCTTTACATATTGCCTATCCTTTCTCCCACTCAGCCCATGAGTAGGACCAAATCTCTTTCATTTATTATCACTGTCATTTTTAAAAGACTGGAATATCCCAGGATTTACAATGACTCCTGTTTGCCTGAGTTGAAGTGCTCTCTATTGGGTTTTTGGGTCATCATTACAGTATCTAAACATCAGGTCCTTCTTCTTTGGCACAGCAGGGTAGGATGAGACCTCCATCCTCTAGGTTTCTGTGCTCTGTGTGGTTTCTGTATAATCGATTCAGACTCATAGCAACACTATGCTGTGCAGACAGGGTTTTCAAAGACTGTGATTTTATTTTTTACAAACAGATCTCCAGTCCTTTCATACACAGTCCTGCTGGGGAGATTCCAACCTCCCACAGCGACATTAGCCGTTGAGTGCAAACTGTATGGGACACTCAGATAACCAGAATCCTCCCCTCATCAGGTCCTCTCTCTGTCTGTACTGGAGAAAATCAGTCCCTGTGCAGGCCATGAGCCCACAGACCAAAGCTTTGAAGGACAGACACACTACCCAGGGAACCAGCTGACCACAGCCTCCAACAGGAAGAACATTCCAGTCCTTTCATACATGGTCCTGCTAGGGAGATTCAACCTACCACAGCAACATTAGCAGTTGAGAGCAAACTGTATGGGACACCAAGGTACCCAGAGCAGAATAGTCGCCTCATCAGGTCCTCTCTCTGTGTATTGGAGTAAACTCAGTCCCTATGCTGGCCATGAGCTTGTAGATCAAAGCTTTGAAGGACAGACACACTATCCTGGGAACCAGCTGGCCACAGCCTCCAACAGGAAGAATATTCTGGTCCACAGGAGGAGGAATTCGTATCTGAGAACCCACCCAGAAAACCCACTTGTGTCTAGTCGATTGTGAATTGTAGCAGCACCATTTCACAGAGTGGAACTGTCCCTGGGCATTTCTGAGGCTGTACATCTTCATGGAAGGAGCAGTCAAGGTATCAGACAATTTATTGAGTAAGACAAATCTGCTGCACAAAGATTCTTTAAAGACTTTAAGAGCAAAGATGTCAATATATGTATTGTTAATACATATATAGACATGTACAGAGAATTCTGGTAGCCAAGTGGTTATGAATTGGGCTGCTCACCTCGAGGTCAGCAGTTCAAAACTACCAGCTGTTTCATTAAGAAAAAGATGAGGGTTCTGCTCCCATAAATATTTAGTCTTAGAAACCTTGTGTAGGGTCGCTAGGAGTTTGAACCCACTGCACAGCACACCACCACCACCATAGATATGTATGCTGGTAAGCGCCTTCGAGTCACCTCCTCCCCACAGGGACCTTGCCACATTCATAAATTCCAATTAATACACATAGAAGAACTGATTGGAACACAAAATTTTGGAAACACCATAGTAATCATAATCCCAGGTAGTAATTATCAATGGCTTTGTTGTAGTTGTTAGGAGCCAGTGAGTTGGGACCAACTCTCAGCGACCTTATGCACAGCAGAATGAAATACTGGCCGATCTAGGGCCAACCTCACTACTGTTGCCACGCTTGAGTCCATCAATGTTGCCACTAGGTCAATCCATCTTGTTGTGGGTCTTCCTCTTTTTCTGACATTCCACCTTACCAAACATGTTATCCTTTGTTGTGGAAAAACAGTGGACAGGGAGCTACAGGTTCACAATTCAAGTCTCCCAGCTGCTCTGCAGGATAAAGAAGAGGCTTTCTGGTCCTGCAGAGATTTACGGCCTCAGAAACCCGATACAGTCACTATGAGTTGGAACAGACTCGACTGCATGAACAGAAAGCCAAAGTATTATGAAAATCAGAATATCTGCTGTCTCAAAAGTATCACCCTATGAGACACTAAGTATAAAAGTTAAGAACACTGAACTCAAAATATGATAGAATTGAAGGAAATGTATGAAAACTAAACTCTTAAATGCAGTAAAACATCAATGTAATAAAATATGCACAATATAACATCAATCAAATCATTACAAAATAGAAAACCACATTTGCTCAAGGATATTTCCCAAGACTTTACTATAGTAACCAGAGATTTAAAGAGAGGTACAATTAGTCATGGAATGACACTATAACAAACATATATCCCTGCAGTTACAAGAAAGCTGTCATATTTCTGTGAGAACTTTGCTCATATTAAGTGCACTATTTTGAATTTTGCTCACTTCGCAGTAGCAGTATGAAGGAAACATCTAAAATTGGACATAAATAAAGGCTTTTATCTATAAATCTTTTTATGTACAGTGAGGTGTGAAGCTGGAGTAAAAGCTTTCCCACACACCTTACATTCATGGGCCTCTCTACGTTATGGAATTGCTTGTGTGTACTGCATTGTGAGGCAAATCTGAAGGCTTTCCCACACTCTTTACATTCATAGGGCCTCTCTTCACCGTGGAATTGCTTGTGTGTACTATATTGAGGCAAATCTGAAGGCTTTCCCACACTCCTTACATTCATAAGGCTTCTCTCCACTGTAGTTTCCTCTATGTACAGCAAGGCGTGAGAAAGCCCGAAAATTTTTCTCACATTCCTGACATTCTTAAGGCCTCTCTCTACTATGAATTCGCTTATGTACAGTGAGGGCTGTGGAAGAACCAAAGGCTTTCCCACACTCCTTACATTCACAGGGCCTCTCTCCACTGTGGATTCTTCTATGTCTTGTGAGGCATGAGGCTCAGAGAAAGGCTTTCCCACATTCCTTACATTCATAGGGCCTCGCTCCACTGTGGGTTCGCATGTGTGTACTGCACTGTGAGGACTCTCTGAAGGCTTTCCCACATTTACATTGATAAGGCTTCTCTCCACTGTGGATTTTTCTATGTGCAGTCAGGCCTGAGGAACCTCTAAAACATATCCCACAATCCTTACATTGATAGGGCCTCTCTACATTATGAGTCCACATGTGTCTAGTGCACTGTGAGGAGAATCTAAAGGCTTTTCCACATTGCTTACATTCATAGGGCCTCTCTCCACTGTGAGTTCGCATGTGTCTCCTGCACTGTGAGGACTGTCTGAAGGCTTTCCCACATTGCTTACATTCATAAGCCTTCTCTCTGTTGTGGATTCTTTTATGCACAGTCAGGGTTGAGGAAGACCTAAAAGTGTTCCCATACTCTTTACATTCATAAGGCCTCTTTGTATTATGGACTATTTTATGTCTTGGGAGCCTTGAGGCATGAATAAAGACTTTCCCACATTGCTTACATTCATATGGCTTCTCTCCGCTGTGGAATCTTCTATGTGCAGTCAGGCCTGAGGAATCCCTAAAACTTTTCCACAATCCTTACATTAATAGGGCCTCTCTCCACTATGATTCCGCATGTGTCTAGTGCACTGTGAGGAGTCTCTGAAGGCTTTTCCACATTGCTTACATTCATAAGGCTTTTCTCCACTGTGGATTCTTTTATGCACATTCAGGCTTGAGGAATACTTAAATGTGTTCCCATACTCCTTACATTCATAAGGCCTCTTTGCACTGTGGACTATTGCATGTCTTGTGAGCCTGTTGGCACAGCTAAAGGCTTTCTCACATTGATTACATTCATAGAGCCTGTCTCCACTGTGAGTTTGCAAATGTCGACTCTGCTGTAAGGAATCCCTAAAGGCTTTCCCACACACTTTACATTCAAAAGGCCTCTGTCTGCTGTGAGTTCCTATATGTCCAGGGAGGAGTGATGCCTCACCAGAGGACTTCCCACACTCTGTATATTTATAGGGCCTCTCTCCACTGTGGATGCTTCTATGTGCAGCCAGGTCTGAGGAATCTCTAAACGTTTCCCCACACTCTTTACATTCATAAGGCATCTCTCCACTATGACTACTTACAAGTTGAGTGAGGGAGGAAGCCTCAGGAATTGCTTTCTTACATTCAGAAGGCTTCTCTCTCTTATGAGAATTATTGTTTAAACTGAGAGATGAAGGACTAGTATGCATTCTAAAACTCTCTTTACATATGAACTGATGACCTTCCAAAGGTGTCCTAACTGGTGAGAAACTACAAAAACTTTGCATGCACTTGTTGAATTCATACCCGTCAATACTGGTGATTGCAGAGATAGGATTCTTGAGGGTCGACATACAAAGGAAGCCTTTCCCACATATCTTACATTTATGGGTATGTTTCCCATTATGAGTTCTCACAGGAGTGGTCAGGTGAGAAGGACACCTGCAGTCTTTCCCACAGTCCGGACACTGACAGGTACTGCTTCCAGTGTGAGCTCTACTACAATTGTTCTCTAGGGAATGATCCAGGAAGGCTCCTCCATACTCACAGCATTCAAAAGGATCTACTTCTGTGGGAGCTTCTTGGTGCACAATAAGATCAGGAATCCGGCTGCAGGTTTCCCCACACTGGTTGCGTTCAGAATATTCACACAGGTTCTCAAATGCACCAGTTCTGTTAAAAACAGGTAGTGTAAATATAAACCAATGGTGTCCTCTGCAAACTACTCCATTTTCAACAAGGAAACAAGAAAAAAAAAGTCAGTTATTGTGTTGGAAACAAATGTTCCTGCATGATAGCATTACCAAACACAGTGAACATGCATGTCTTTTCCTTGAATTGTTTCAAGATTCATCTAGGACAACGACTACCATTTCCATCAATGTGTTAGACTTCCTGCTGATTGTGTCCAAGTGAAATATGCTTTAAATATTTCGCTAACTTATACTTACGAAAATGTTCTTACGTGAATTTTCACGGAACCCATTGTTTTATCGCCAGGATTATACACATATACATATATACATGGATCCGGATGAAGGATTAACACTAGGTGGCAAGCTAGATTTGAACCACAAAGTGGAACAACTTCATGGCATGTAACAACAGCTACTCCTTGGAAAGTCAACAAAGGCTTGCTAAAAGTCAGAACTGACTCGGCAAACACAACACATATACATCAGTCGGCTTCAGGGATTCAAACCACTTTGGAAAGACTCAGCAATTTCCAACATAAATGAGAGAAGTGTCCAGTTTGCATAGCAATCAAAACTGTTGTTTTAATAGAATTTGATTTGGTGAAGAAACAATCACTAGTACTGCATTCAAGGATGGTGAGCAAACCACCAATATGACATGTCGCTCTACACACTCCTGCAACACCAAACACCTACATGGATACCAAGTCTTACATCACACACCAGATATGTTGTAGGACTCTAGAGATCAACAAACATTTAGAGCTGCGCAGCCTGCCCCCATATCTGAATGGCACACTACTGACAGTTTCTTAATTGACTCACAATTTAAAAGGAAAGAGATTTGACTGTTGGGAAATGCATATGCAAGCTTCATTTGTCCAGCAATTCCTCAATCAGAAATGTTCACAGAATGATGCAATTGAAAGACGATGGAGTTCTCCATGAACTATTTGGAGCCCCCTCATTTCAGTGTATTTTGATGTTATGACACCTCCTGAGATTTTGTGAAGCACTAATTTCTGTTGTTTGAATCACACTCACCTCAAATGTCTCCCTTGGTTGTCAAGGTGATCCTTCCAGCCATGTGATTTCTTGATTGCACCTGCGATGCGTAATAACCAGGTGTTACTCTTCAAATAGCATATGATTAAATGCTCACTGGGTAGCTTTTCTCCAGCATTAATGTTTCTAGCCACTGATCCAAACATTCAGGTTAAAGTCCATAATTAGAATCAAATGGGAATGATTAGAAGACACAGGTTCCTAGTAAAAAAGACTCAGCCCCATTTCGCTATTCCAGCACTTTGACAAGTCTTAAAATGCAACTTACTAGGAAATACTTCTATCAAGATGGAGAGGGACAATAATATACACATGTATCATTAGGTGAGCTAAGTAGAAAGGAATCAGACATACCACATCACAAGGAAGACCTTGATGACCAATGAAAGATTCCTTGTCACCGAGATAGTGCTCTGTTCTCTAGAAGCTCTGATGATTGACAGGTGTGAGTTCATTTGCATCAAAATCATGACATCAAACTTGTCAGAAACCCAATAAATATCTCAGGCACCCACAGGACAAGTCTCTCGGTGCATGAAAGTGTCCCCTGAAGTCAATGCTATGCTGATGGCACTTAAAGAGACTCAAGGCTTTGTATTAGGGGAAACCTGTATGCATGAGCTCCATATAGAAGGGGACCATGCCTTTTATTTAACAGGGTATTCCGGTTGCTCCTCATTCCTTATAATCAACCACAGATGATGAGTAAAATATTTTTGTTCACTAAAGGAATTAAAAAAAAAAAAAGAAAGAAAATGAAACAGGAAGATGCCATTTATACCGACTGAAGCCAGATTTCTCAAGGTTTCCATCATCACGTCTCTGTAGAGTTTTCTCTGAGCAGGATCCAGCAGATCCCACCCTTTACTGGTGAAGACCACAGCCACATCTTCAATGGTCACTGTACCCTAAAACATCCCACGCAGTCTCGGTCAGCAAGGCAGCACTTAGGCCAACATGTCTAAGAACAAAAGGTGGGGCTGCCATTCCTGGGACATGAGAATCCACAGGTACATAACACCAGGTTCTGTGCTCTCCCGAGATCTGCTCAAGGAAGACGGATTTGCTTCGCCCCTTCACTAACGCCACTGACAGCATCTTGTCTCAAAATCTCCCAACACCTTGAAATACTGTGATTGAGACCAACAGCAGTCTATCCCTCTCTTTGTATGGTCTATAACAATTAGAAAGTACTGCAGAAATGATACCAATGATCAGATCATAACCTTTTGTGAATAAGCCATTCTATCTCCTTCCATAGACCAACCAGACCCTCCACAAGCAGGAAGCACTAGGTGGAGCTGGGGAGACCCTAACAATTCGAAGACAGTGCTTCAGCATAGAGCTGATTCCACAAGGACTCACGTCCATTTCCCCCCACTGAAGAGCACGAATACCCCAGTTATCTACAACCCCAAACCCAACCCATTCGAGTTAATTCAGATACTTAACAACTTTATATTATCATGTGCCACAATGTCGGTCCCGCTCATATCGATACTGCACACGGTTTCCAGGGAGCGGCTGGTAAGTTTGAACCGCCGACCCTGAGGACAGCGGTGCAGCGCTGGACGCCCATGGCACTCACCATTCTCGCGCTTCACCTTCAGGAAGTCTAAGAGCAAGTCCCCAACAGGACCCGGAACTCCGCGGATTCAGGCCAAGGGACTGCAGTGGACACTGAGCTCGGGGTACGTTGGGAACAGATGCACAGAAGCCATCCGCGCCTCCAATCCAGGTCCTTTGTGGACCAGAGGCTCCGCCTGGGTTACTCCCCTTGCTCCACGTGAGACCGGAAATGGGAGGGGGAGATGGGCGGAGTCAGTGGGCTTGTCCCAAAGGGAAACGCCTAAGTTACAAACACAAAACTAAAAAACCTGAGCCGGGAATATATGGGAGGACGGTAACTGGGTAACAGGGATTCGAAACTGACAGACCTGGTTCCCCTGGCACTGCGGAATAAGAAGAGCACTTTGCTCCCCAAGGACGCACACCACGTCACCAGAGGACCTAATGACATCCGCAGCCCTCCTAACCTCGAACTTTAGTTTTCGGGAGGGCAGAGAAGAGACAAGGGCGCGCGGGAGAGAAGGACCAGCTCACTTGAATCTTAATATGAGTCGACTATGGTGGGGTGGGGCCAGCCTACGGGAGACAGACTTCACACCTACCCGTCACTGGCGTAGAAGGAAGTCCAGAGAGAACTCAAACTTCCGCTTCCTGTATTTGTGCTGATTTGGTGCATCAGAGAAACGGTTCCATGCGGAAACACAGAGGACTCTCGCTGATTGTTATCCTGGTGTTCAGTGGGTTCTCTGGAATTTGGAATCTGGTCAAGATTCTCCTTGTTCCTCTACGGAGAAAAGCATAGAGTTTCTTCAACAAGAATATGAAGGGAAATGCGGGTTTCAGTTATACAAGATACGTTTGTGAGGCAGAGAAAGTTCCTAAGGTCATATTTGACCCTTTGAAACAGTTTTACAGTAGTTGGCAAACAGTTTCTTCAGTCTTCATAAACATTTCCCCATCTTCAATTGTTTACGTCTCTAGCTTGGCTTCTGTTTCAGGGATTGTCATCGCTTGCATATCACCTGTCTTTCCCCAATGGCATGATCCACACTAATAGGGACAGCCTAGGAATCCAGGAAGACATAGTTGGGAAATGTGAAAGGAAAGATTTAGCAAGGAGACTTGGAGAACATATATGTGTGATTGCATACGTGATTTATTAAGGTGCGTCTCTGCAAACACTTGCTCTTCTGGGTGTTTCACTGAAGTTACAGGACAATGCCAAGGCAGGTCTCTGGGTAATGTACTTTGAAATTGCTTTCTGAGATGTGCCCCTTTCATGGATTTATCAATATTAAACAAATATACTGAAGGCACTAGCGAAAAACAAGACTCCAGGAAATGATGGAATACCAATAGAAATGTCTAAACAAAATGAGACAATGCTGGGAGTACTGCCGTCTATGTCAAATAATTTGGAAGACTGTTTCCTGGCCAAAAAAGAGATCCATATTTGTGCCCATTCCACAGAAAACAGGCCCAACATAACGCGGGAATTAGCTAACAATATCCTTAATTTGACACATCAGTGAAAATTGCTAAAGATAACTCAAAAATGATTTCAAGTGTAGATCTATAAGGGAGGTCGGTGCCAGAAATTCAATGCACATTTACAAACGAACGTTAAACCAGAGATATCACTGCGGACAGTATGGAAGGAAACATCCTCAATTGTCAACCAAGAAAAATGTCAAGAGTCAACCATCAACTGGAAAACTAATGGTCACAGTTTTCTGGGATTCTCAAGGGCGGTGAGTATTGGAACACTGTCAGGAAAAGGGCTCGTCAATCAACAGATGCTCACTTAAGAATTAAAGCCTAAACTTGGAATTAAACGCAGAGGGCCACATACTCTAAGGTCACATACTCCTTTTCATATGAGGCCTTGGCAGAGGCCACATGACACAATCGTTCCTCAGAGGATCTTTCCTCAATTATTCAAGATGTTATAGCTTTTACCTGAAGAGTGTTGACGCACAGCATTATTGGTCAATCCCTGAAAAAGTTACACCTGAGAAAGCAATTTTTATAGTAGATTGCCCAGAGACTTGTTTAGCCATTGTCCTGTGACTTTATTGTAACACACTGAAGAGCAAGTGTTTGCAAGGATGCACCGTAATCGATCATGTATGTAATCCCACAGATGTGTCCTGCAACTCTCCCTGTTAAATTTCTCAGATATCCCAACTTTGTCTCCCTGGATTAGTTTTCAGTCAGTGATGATACTCTATGGCAGAGTAGATTCTCTGACTGTATATCAAGATTGATATTGATCATGTTGTACTTTGAAGATCACTGCACATTATGATTAAGTGCATATGTGAAAAATAAAAAACTGTAACTGCCGTTTTGAAAAGTACTTCTGCTTTTACCTCCTGGCCTTCAGCACAGCTGGTATCTTCCGACCTCTCCCCCGGATAATACTCTCAGCATCTTCACCATTTGTAAAGGACAGACTAGGTTCTCTCTCTTGTGTCTCTCTCAGGAGTCTAAAGAATCAGCCTCAACTGAGACGCTGCCTCTCAATTTCATGCACACAACAGCCATTCACTCAGAAACCGTTTATTGGAAAGCAAAAACACACTAAAAAGATATAAATGGGTCAGCCTCTGTGAGTGGAAAAGATTCTGTGGGATTTTGGGTATGGATTAAGTACAGTTTCCTATTTGTGGTCCCAGATGTCGTCCCCCTGGGGTAGGTCTAAGGCTGCCCCTCACTAATTAAGTCTTATTAAAGTGGAGGAATGCTTATTTCATTGTTAATAAAGTGGTGCAGGCTTCCTGGGAATGGGGTGATACCACATCTGTTTTCTTTGTGGTTGACTGTTCCTGGTGCTGTTTTGACAGATTTTCTGACTCACCTTTCATTTTCAGTTGCTGGTGGTTCTCACACCTGGTGGTATTTTCTCTATCATGGTCTCAGGCTCTGCTCCCTGTCTCCTTGCCCCTAGGTTGTCCCTACCAGTGTGAAGTAGTATGCTCTTGGCGAAAGACAAGTGATATGCATGAGTTGACAATCCCTGAAACAGAAGCCAAACTAGAGACACAAACAATTGAATATAGCTAAATGTTTATGAAGAGCAAAAACACTATGTCTGCCAAGAACAGTAAAAGAGTTTCAAAGGGAAAAATCTGAACTTTGGAACTATCTCTGCACCATAGCCGTATCTTGGATGACTGAAATTCATATACTCAATGAAGAAACTCTATGCTTTTGTTCATAGATGGAACAATGACAATCTTGACCAGAATCCAGTGACCACCACGGTAACAATCGCTAGATTCGTCTATATTTCCGCACGGAGCCCTTTCTCTGAGGCACCAAACGGCACAAAAAAGGAAGCGGAAGTCTGAGTTTTCATTTTGGCTTGCTTTCTCCACAGGCAGGTAGGTTCGGATTCTTGACACCCTTCGGCTGGCTGCCCCAACCCCACCCCACTAGCCGCAGGTGCCCCACAGACTCACATTAAGGTCCGAAGGCGCTGGTCCCAATCACCAGCGCGCCCTCCTCTCTTCTCCGGCCTCCTGGACAAACTGTGCTTCTCACCCCAGCAGTCAGGGGCCCCAGGGTCCGTTTTTAGGGAATCCCCATTACCCGGTTGTCATTCTTGCACATATTTTTTGTTTTTCTTTTTGTAACTTAGACCTTCTCTCTGGGACACGCCCACTGACTCCAACCATATTCCTTCAATTTCCGGTCTCACACGTGGAGCAGGGAGAGGAGTCCAGTCGGTGACTCAGCTCTACAAAGGACCGGGATTGGAGGTGCGGATGGCCACTGTGCATCTGTTCCCAACGTGCCCCGAGCTCCGTGTCCACTTTCATCCCTCGTCCTCAATCCGCGGAGCTCTGCATCCTGTCGGGGACCTGCTGTTAGACTTCCCGAAGGTGAACACGGGAATGGTGAGTGCCATAGGCGTCTTGGGATTTGCACTCCATGGCTGTCCCCAGGGTTTGCGGTTCAAGCCCACCAGCCGCTCGTAGGAAACCCTATGGAAGATTGCTATGAGTGGGACCCACTCCACTCGGTGGTACATGGAAATACAAGGTTGTTACGAGTCCAAATTCACTAGGACGTGGGTGGTAGTGGGGAAATCGGGAGTGAATCATTGTGGGGTCAGCTCTGTGCTGAAGAACTGACTTTCTACACTCTCGAGTTGTTAGGGCCTCCACTCCTCCACCTAGTGCTTCCTGCCCATGGAGGGTTTGTTGATCTGTGGAAGGCGATGTAATGGTTTGTTAACAGGTATGATGATATGAGCAAGAGCGTTTCTTGCATTTCTGATGTATTTTCTAGACCATACACAGGGAGGGATAGACTGCTGTTGTTCACAGTAAAATTGTGGAGAGACTATTACAGGGTGTTGGGAGTTTTTGAGACAAGGTGCTATCATTGAGGAAGTGAATGGGTTCAGTGAAGGGATGAATTCAATCCGTGTTCCCTAGAGCAGCTTTTGGGAGAGCACAGAACCTGGTGTTATGTACCTGTGGATTCTCAGTGTCCCAGGAATGGCAGCCTCACCTTTTGTTCTTAGGCACCTTGGCATTAAGTGCTGCTTTGCTGATGTAAAATGTGTGGGATGTTTTAGGGAACAGTGATGATTGAAGATGTGGCTGTGGTCTTCACCAGTGAAGAGTGGGATTTGCTGGATCCAGCTCAGAGAAAACTCTACAGAAACGTGATGATGGAAACCTTGAGAAACCTGGCTTCAGTTGGTATGAATGGCATTTTCTTTTTATTTTTAAAAAATTCCTTTTGTAACCAAAAATATTTTACTCATCAACTGTGCTTGATTATATGGGATGAGCAATTGGAAAATCATGTTAAATAAAAGGCATGGTCTCCTATTATATGCATCTCACGTATCCGGAATTCCCCAAATACAAAGCTTATACACTAAACTGAGCTTTCAGTTCTCTCTTTTTGAGTAAAAGTCTAGGTCTTCTTTAAGTGCCATCAGCATTGCATTGACTTTAGGGGACACTTTCATGCTTGAGAGACTTGTCATGTGTGTGCCTTTCTAAGAGTTTTATTGGGTTTATAACAACTTTGACGTCATGATTTTGCTGCAGATAAACTCACACCTGTCAATCTTCAGAGGCCCTGGAGAACAGAGGACTGTCTGTGTGACAAGGACACTTTCATTGGTCATCACGGTCTTCCTCACAATGTACATTTCTCCATGAGCTCCATGGTGTTGTGAACTGCCGTCATGTCGGTTCTAACACTTAGGGACCCTGTGTAGGGTTTCCTAGGGGCGACTGGGGAATTTATCCTACAATATCACGCCCTGACTCCTGAGCTCCATCATGGCTCTACCCATTTTTTTCTCCGAGAATGTAAGGAAAAATCTGAGGACAGTGGATATAGAGTCACTGAGGCCCATGTGTCAGAAGCCCAAGGAAACGAAATATTAAGCCCATCATTGAATGAAGAGAATCATTCAGCTTCAAAATGTTTATTTTGGCTTACATACAAAACTTCACTGATGCCTGAATTTACTTGTTTGCTTTTAGCTGTCCTGTCACAGCTGTGGTCATGGAGACCCTTTCCCTGTGTAATATTACATGTGTGTTATGTCTAACTTCTTTCTACTTAGCTCTCCTAATGATAACCTGTGTATGTTACTGTTCCCCATCCTCATGTAAGTATTTCTTAGTAAATTGCCTTTTAACAGTTGTCAAAATGCTGGAATAGCAAAATGTGGCTGAGTCTTTATTTCTAGGTACTTATAATAATTCCTGTTTCTTATAATAATTCCTGTTTCTTATTATGTAATTTAACCTGAATGGTTGGATCAATAACTGGAAGCCTTAATGATGGAGAAAAGTTAACCAGTGAGCATATAATGTTGAAATTTCTGAAGAGTAACACATTGTTATGCATGTCAGGTAAAATCATGGAATCACATGGCTGGAAGGATCACCTTGACAACCACAAGAGACATTTGAGGTGAGTGTCAAGTCAAACAACAGGAAGTAGTGCTTCAGAAAATCTCATTCTGTGTCATAATATCAAAATACACTTAAATGAGAGGACTACAACAACTTCATGGAAAACTTCATGATCTTCAATTCCATAATCTGTGAACATTTTTTATTCAGTAATTGCTGGACAAAAGAAGGTTGCATATGTGTTTCCCAATTGTGAAATGTTTTACGTTTTGAATTGTGAGTCAATGAAGAGCCTGTCAGTACTGTGCCATTCAGATATGGAGGCAGGCTTCGCAAGTCTAAAAGTTTGTGGATCTCCACAGTCCTTCAAGAGATCCAGTCTCAGATGTAAGGCTCTTGGTATCCATGTAGGTGTTTGGATTGTTGCAGAATTGCAGGAGTGTGTAGAGCGACATTTTCATATTGGTGGTGTGCTCACCATCTTTGAATGCAGTACCAGTGATTCTTTCTTCATCAAATCAAGTTCTGTTAGGGAACATATTTGCTTGCTATGCATTCTGGAAACTTGTCTTATATTTCTGTTGGAAATTGCTGAGTCGTAACAGTGGTTTCAATTGCTGAAGCCGACTGATACATATGTGTTGTGTGTGCCTGGTCAGTTCCTACTTTTACCAACCATTTGTTGACTTTCCAAGAGAAGCTGTTGGATTGCTGTTGTTATGTGCCATCAAGTCATTCCATTTTGTGGTTGAAATCTAGCTTGCCGTCTAGTGTTAATCCTTCACCACTACCCATGTATATACATATATGTATATAAACCTGGCGGTAAAACTATAGATCCTGCGAAATTTCATGTAAAAACATTTTCATAATTGTAAACATTCACTGAAATGTTTAAAGCATATTTCCCTTGGACACAATGACCAGAAAGTCTTACACATTGATGGGAATGATAGTAGTTGTGCTAGATGAACCATGAGACAATTCAGGGAAAAGACACACACGTTCACTATGTTTGATAATACTGTAAAGGGACAACATTTCCAGCAAGATAACTGCCATTTTATTCCTTGTCTCTTTGTAAAAAAACTGAGTGGTTTGTAGAGGACACCATTGATTTTATGTTTACACATGCTGTTTTTAACAGAACTGGATCAATCGACAACTTCTGTAAACATTCTGAAGGCAGCCAGTGTGTGGAAACCTCCAGCCCGATTCCTGATTTTGCTGTGCACCAAGTAGATCCCACAGAAGTAGATCCTTTTGAATGTTGTGAGTATGGAGAAGCCTTCCTGGATCATTCCTTAGAGAACAATCGTAGTATGGCTCACACTGGATACAGTACCTGTCAGTGGATGGATTGTGGGGAAGACTGCAGGTGTCCCTCTCACGTGACTACTGCTATGAGCACTCATGATGGACGAAATACCCATAAATGTACGATGTGTGGAAAAGGCTTCCTTTGTATCTCAACGCTCAAGAATCCTGTCTCAGCAATCACCAGCGATGAACGGTGTGAATTCAGCGAGTGGATGGAAATTTTCTGTAGTTTCTCACCCTTTAGGACACCTGTGGAAGGTCATCAGTGTGTATGTAAAGAATGTTTTAGAGTAGATACTCTTCCTTTAGCTCTCATTTTACATAATAACTCTTATGAGAGAGAGGAGCCTTCTGAATATAAGAGAGTTATTCCTGAGGCCTCCTCCCTCACTCAACATGTAAACACTCACAGTGGAGAGAAGCTCTCTAAATGTGAGGAATGTGGGAAAACTTTTAGTGATTCCTCAGGTCTGACTGAACATACGATAATCCACAATGGAGAGAGACCCTATAAATGTAAAGAATGTGGGAAAGCCTTAAGGTATTCCTCACAACACAGTAGACATAGGCACACTCACAGTGGAGACAGGCTTTATGAATATAATCAATGTGGGAAAGCTTTTAGCCAAGCCTCAAGGCTCACAAGACATAAAACTGTCCACAGTGGAGTGAGGCCCTATGAATATAAGGAGTGTGGGAAACTCTTTGTTTCTCCCTCAACCCTCACTTCACATAGGAAAATTCACAGTGGAAAAAGGCCTTATGAATGTAAGGAGTGTGGGAAAGAATTTAGGTCTTCCTCAACCCTTACTGTACATAAAAGAATCCACAGTGGAAGGAAACCTTATGAATGTAAGCAATGTGGGAAAGCCTTCAGACAGTCCTCACAGTGCAGTAGACACATGAAAATTCATAGTGGAGAGAGGCCCTTTGAATGTAAGGAGTGTGGGAAACGTTTTAGGGATTCCTCAGGTCTGACTGAACATAAACGAATCCACACTGGAGAGAAGCCTTATGAATGTAACCAATGTGGGAAAGCCTTTGGCAATGTCTCAGGCCTCATAGTACACAGAAGAATTCACAGTGGAGAGAGGCCCTATGAATGTAAGGAATGTGGGAAAGCCTTTGGCCAAGCCTCAACCCTCACATTACACAGAAGAAGTCACAGTGGAGAGAGACCCTATGAATGTAAAGAATGTGGGAAAACTTATAAGGATTTGTCAGGCCTCACTGTACATAGAAGAAGCCACAGTGGAGAGAAGCCTTTTGAATGTAAGGTGTGTGGGAAAGCCTTTACAAAATCCTCAGTCCTTACTATACATAGACGAATCCACAGTGGAGAGAGGCCCTATGAATGTAAGGAGTGTGGAAAAGCCTTTACAGGAGTCTCA